TAACACAGAAAGACAGCTTGAATTGTTGTGCTTGGAGACATATGTGACATGTAAAGTGCCATGTCTATAATGTATATACATTGACTCGGAATAATATTTTATAAAAGGTGTACTACTTGTTTTTCATTTGTTTCTATACAGCTTGTATTATAACACAGTGTTCTCACACACCAAAGGTAAAATGCTATATCTGCACTATGGGACTTTGGAGTACTTCCTGGTTCCCCTTTTCAGCCACAAGCCTCAGTGCTGTGTAGGGTCAAGGATACAAAAATGACACAATTTTAATTCCAAATCTTACAGTTTCCATGCAAAGAAACACTTCTGCAGGCTCTGAAATAGATCAGCAGCAGAATACTCTAGTAGATAATTTAGGTCCAGCCATAGCAAGGCTAGTCAAACATTTTGACTACATTTCACAATTTCCACTTCTGTTCATGCTGATAATCAAGGATGATTAAACAGTTGATTACTTTGAACTGCAGCAATTTCATAGTGATGAATATTAATATCTCATGTTTGAAAAACTCCTTTGTTTTACGACATTTTAAGATTATATATATATATATACATTTTAAGATTTTATATATATATATATATATTTTAAGATTATATATATATATCTACACATATATAGATTGAGAAAGAAGTAGTTTTCAGCTGTTTGCTCTCAGTGGAAGGTAGGGATTCCTGAAGAAATGAAATAGAATAGGTGGGAGATACAGAATGCAAAAAGAACAGAGTATTAAAGACTGGAAGGCCAAGTTGGCAGGCTGACTTGATAAATCCATTCCTTTTGAAAGCTCTCAAAATCCTGCCACAAGTTCAGTCTGCAGGATTCTACCACCGTTTTATGGCTCAGTGCTTTCTACTGAAAATTAGAGAGGCAGAGTCAGCAGCAGCTCCTGACACTGCTTTGTCTTTTAGTGTTAAGCTCTTGCTACTGCAATATATTCCTAAATCAGACTTCCAGAAGCAATCCATGCTGTAGTTTCCATTTGTCTGGCAGCAACTTCCACCTCCAGCAATTACTATGACTGACTTTATTGTAAGTCATAGAATGGTTTATGTTGGAGGGGGTTGGAGGGGGCCTTAAAGATCATCAAGTTACACCCTTGCCTTGGGTAGGATTGCCAATCATTAAATCAGGCTGTTGAGGATCCCCAGCTCTCGAAGAGCTCTTCTCCCAGTCTGTACTCATAGCTGGGATTGCCTCAATCCAAGTGCAACCAACACCTTGCAGCTGGCCATGTTGAACCTCATTAGATTCTCATGTGTTCTCACCTCACAGGTCTATCTGGATAGTGTCCCTCCCTTCTCTTGTGCCAACTGCACTGCTTAGCTGGGTGCCATCAGCAAACTTGCAGAGGGTACACTCAATCCCACTGTATGTCACTGATAAAGATGCTGAAGAGTATTGATTCCAAGATAGACCTCTGAGGGACACAACTCATGACCAGCTGCCTCATGGGCACAGAGCCATTGACAACAACTCTGTCTACAAGCACCCAACCAATTCTTCATCCAATAGTCCAGCCTTCAAATCGCCTCTCTCCAATTTGAAGATAAGGATGCAGCACAGGACATGTCAGCCTTAATCCCATATAATCGCATTCCCACAAATGCTGTGTAATTTTCATGAAATGAATACACTCAGAATCATGACATGACCATACAACACCAAGCAATGAAGTGTCCTCCAGGATTTTCATTAACATCAGCTAATCAAGCAAACACTCCCCTTAAGTTAACTACATCCGCAAGGACAATCTCTTACACAGATGAGCACACTTCAACAGCTTAACTTGCAGAGCAGTGCAAGTCTCTGGGGAGCTTGCTGCAAGCTGCTCTAGTCCCAGACCTACTAAGAAGATACCACACAATGTAAGTCAGCAAAACTGACAATTTCAGGCAAAAAGTTAATCTATTCTGTCTCCCTCACCAGCTTGAGCCTCATGAGTGATTCACATCTCAGCACAAACCTTGAATCATCCATCAAAATAATTCACACCATGCCACCCAATGCACGACTAAAGCTCAGGCAGGAAGTTAGAGCTTTCTTACCTTCTTATCTTCAGCAGCAATGATACCATGTGAGCTGCGAAATGAGCAGTGGCCTCTGGGACTGATGCTGAAGAACCTAGGTTGTAAAGACATAATTCAGGATGAGATTAATATGTTGGCACATAGAAGGAGACTTCACCTTCCATCACTAACTTCAGAGCAGTTTGTTCTTGCTTTGAGCTAGCTCTCAGTTGCAAAAATCTGTATGGGGATGTTCAATGAATCTGAGGTCTATAACGACTGAGAGGTCAGTCAATGGTAACTGTATAAAACACATTGATGTGAAAATACCATTCAATTCATATTGAATAGCAATATGAATTTCTAAGTTTGCCTTTTCAATTTTTGTGTGGCAGTACTAGTAAGCAAACCACTCGTTTCTAAAGCAATGCAGTCCACAAAATTAGTATTTTCTTATTAATTTTTAATAGATATTTAAATTTAAAATACATATTTATCAACAAAGGAATGCTGGTAAATACTTAGAGCTGATATTATTTCTCAAACTATTATAGGTTTTATACATCAGGTCCTGAAGGAAGAAAACCATCCTTGCATAAAGGAATGAATCTGTTAAACTTTTAGGTAAAGATTTAACAGCCCATACAGCTTTACTGAGATCCATTAAGTTGAGTTAAAATTAACTAAGGTGATTAGTAATTCAGTGATAAAGAATTAGAAAGAAAAAGTTATTATTTTCCAGTTTCTTAGGGCAGTAAAGGAAATGAAATAGAGTAAGAAGAAACTGAAAGTACTGAAAACTCCAAATTCATTTCCAAACTGGACTTCAGCAGAGCTTATTAAGCGTGAACCCTTTACTTTGCCCTCAGCTCAGATTTGTACTGGAGCATTTTCCAGTTTTTTCGCCATTCTGCCATGGAGCGAATAATTATAAACATACTTTGGTTTTTAGTGTTATACTCCTGCTGTTGCAGTTATATATAATGAGATCACAGTTCCAGGAGCCATTCCCACATCAGTTTTGTTTTCTTTGGCAGGGCTTTTATCTGCCAATTGTAGGTCAAGCACTAGCTTCATATAGCGAGATACCAGAAATGTGTCGTAGAAATGAAAATTACGGAAGAAACGTGTTTAGAATGGCATCAGGAAGACATGCTGCGGTACAACAGCAATGTCTGTAATGGACATTGGATTGGAATGTAATGGAAATCCAGAAGCTCCTTTAACAATACCATGGTTTCTGCAGAGGTTAGCAAATGCCTTAGAAGAGTCACGTAAAAAGCGGGAAGTGAATTGAGACAATCAGATTAAGACTTCTGGAACTGAAACTGTGTGACTGTGGAAGTCACAACGGAGAAAAAATGTTTTCAAAGAGCAAATAGTACACGAGACCTGTCTCTTGCAACATAAACGTATGTGGAAGGATGAAGCAGTTGGGATGAATTCTGACTTAATCATTACACGTGAGGCCTATTTACAGATTTCAATCAAAACAGTAGGTAAGAGATTGTTTAAGCTTGGTTTTTCTACCTCAGCTCTCTCAAGACACAAAGCAGTTACTCAGATACAGAAGGCCAGCTCCTGTTGCTCTTTTGGACTGTGGGTCACTTCCCTGACTGCCCAAACTCGTGACTTGTCTGCTCAGGTTTACCCCCTTCCTACCTCTCATTCATAAGATGAGGTCATTCCACAGCTTCACAGAAGCTGAATTTATTAACAGACAATGCCTAAGGCTGAAGTAAAATATTAAACTAGAAAACAACGGCCATTCTGGTGCCAGTTCTCTTCAATGTTTTTGTCCATGACTTGGATCCAGGACTTGAGGGTATACCAAGTACATTTGCAGACAACTCTAAACTGGGGGGGAGCTGTTGACTCCCTCGAGGGCAGAGATGCCTTGAAGTGAGATTTTGAGAGATTGGAGAGCTGGGCAATCACCAACTGCAAGGAATTTTCCATGAGCAGCACTGGATTCTGCATCTGGGATGGGGCAGCCCTGGGCATATACAGACTACGGGCTGAGAGGCTGTAGATCAGCCCCGCAGAAGGGAATCTAGGAGTTTTGCATAACAGCAAGTTGAATGCAAGCCAGCAGCATGCCCTGACAACCCACAGGCCCAGCACTGCTACCACCATGTGAGGGGAAGGGTCGTCCTGCTCTGCGCTGCCTCCCCTTGGGCACAGGGTGCGGGTTTGGGTGATAAAGCGTAAGAAGAACATAATGCTCTTAGAGTGAATCTAAAGGGGGGTTGCAAAGACAGTGAAGTACCTGGAGGACGAGGAGTACGAGGAGCAGCCAGATCCAGCCTAGAGGAGCTGAGAGGAGGCGCATGGCGGCTGCAGCTCCTCACAGGGAGCGGAGGGCAGCACTGAGTTCTGCTCGGGGCCCGAGGGAACGGCATGGAGCTGAGGGGAGGGACAGCTGAGGGTTAGGGACAGGGTCTGCACCAGAGGGCGGGGGACGTGGAACGGGCTGCACAGTCTGTGGGCACGGCCCCGAGCCGCTGCGGCTCAAGGAGCGTTTGGACAATGCTCTCAGACACAGGGAGTGAATTTCGTTCGTACGGTGCTGCGTGGAGACAGAAATTGGACTCCGTGACCTTTGCGGATCTCTTCAACTCAGGATCCTGTACGGTTCTGTTAACAAGTCCCAGCATTTACAGCTCGTCCGTCCCTGACCTCGCGGGTGAAGCAGCGTGCCGCCTTAAAACAAGAGCTCCAACCACCACCTGCAAACCACCCAGCGACTCCACCACCTCAGCCTGCTCTCACCAGCCGCACTCACTTCCACAAGGCACTTCGCCACGCTCTGTAGCCCCGAAAACGAAGCGGCAGGAACCAGCAAGCAACCCCACAACCCCGAGAAGGGGAGAAACTGCCCTGTGCCGCCCAGCCCCTATAAGAAGGGCTGAGGGAGGGCGGACCGGAGCACGGCTGAGAGCTGCCTCCGCCTCCTTCCGCCTCTCCCCGCGGAACTACAGCTCCCGGGGCGCCCCGCGCCGTTCCCATGGCGACAGGCAGCCGGGCCCGGGCGGACAGCGGCGATGCCCAAGGCCGGGTGAGCGGGAGGCCTGCCGGAGCTTGGTGAAGGGGCCTTCGGCCCTTCCCCGCCTCTTTGGGGGCACGGCATCGCCGCCGTGCGGGCACGGGGCCGGCGGGCGGGGAGATGGCTGTAAAAAGGCAGATTCGGCCTCTGCGGTGTAACGTGGCGTGGGGGAAGCGGGGAGGGGGCTGCCCTCCTCCTGCCGGGCGGCGGGTTGTTCTTCTCTAACGGCGCGCCCGTTCTGTTTTCCCGAGCAGCGATACTCTGTGGGATATTGCTAGAGACGAAGTGGAGAAGAGAGAAAACTCCGGCGACGATGGCGAGCGCGTGGAAGTTTGGGAAAAATCAGTGTTGTTTATGGGAAGCAAAAACGGGGTAATGGTGGTCATCGGGTGCGTTCTTTGAGCGCAGGTGCTGTTGGGGAAGAGATCTGACAAGTGTGGTGTTCACTCAGTTCTTCTGGAAATGAGAGGCTGTTAAGTTTCCCCTTGAGAAAAGCTAACTGGGAACAGACAGAGTCAAGTGCATTTATACCTGCCTTGCTATGATTACAGGCACTGGCATCTTGCTGGGCACTGTGTCTGTACCAGGCAGGTCTGAGCACACATCATAACAGACTGCAAGGTGGTGGTTCCAGAAACAGGAGGGAGAGTGACTTTTTATGTGGGTAGATACTGATAGGATGAGGGGGAACGGTTTTAAACTGAAAGAAAGGAAATTTTTCACTGAGAGGACGATGAGGCATTGGCATAGCTGCCAGGGGAAGCTGTGGTGCCCCATCCCTGCAGGCACTCAAGGCCAGGTTGGATGGGCCCTGGGCAGCTGAGCTGGGGGCAGCCCTACTCACAGCTGGGGGCTGGAAATGCGTGGGCTTCATCTCCCTTCCAACCAAAAGCATTAAGTGACTCTAGGATTCTTATGAGCCAGGTCGTTTTACTTCTTTACTACTAACATTGTCCTTTACATTGTCCTGTGAGGTTTGGTCATTAGTAACTCTGTAGCTGACATCTGTTAGTATTATTTACTTTTCAGAATAGAATTTTAATTTTAGAAGGATTGGTATCTGTACAGCCTCTAACTAGCAGTTAGAACAGCAGTGTAACTTGATTCTGATAGAAAGTTGGCAGTTAGTTTTCCATCACAGTTACAAACAATTACATGACTTTACGCTTTTCAGATGCCTCATAAGAGGAATATTACATCAGTTAGTTTCATTTAGTGATAAAAGCTTATGCCTTAATAATGTTACAATAGAGGAGTTCTTTCTTTTTCATTTCCAGGGGAAGACCACTATCATACTGAGGTGTCTTGAGAGGTATGTGTTAAGTATTTTTCAACTGTGGGTACCTAAAGGCTGATCATAATAAAGGACATTATAAGGAACAATTGCAAGTAAAAGAGAATTGTTTAAAATGTATCTAACTAGTAGAGGTAGTCATGTAATCTAGTTGATTGCTTGCTGGGGTTTGATAATGAGATATAAGCCTTTTTATTTTGTTGCAGTGTATTTTTTAGAATTTTACAAGACTAATTATGTTGTGTGATAATTCATAATCCAGTATACAGGTATTGTCTTTTGTGTCCAGTTGATCGCTTGCAGATTGAATTTACTTCCCTTCTCTACAATGTGTCGTCTGACCCCTTTGGTACTTTTCTCCAATATGAGTGCTTAAATGGCTGTCTGTTCAGATTGGTGCTGTTCTTTCTTCTTCTTTGGTAGAAGAAAGACACTGCTGTATTAAAGTGTCTTCTTCGTACTGCTGTTTGTAAGCTAAATTCTGAACTGATTGATAAATATAACAAAAGTAGAATTAACTTTACTTATTTAGAGCATCTTGTCAATGAAATTATTTTTCTTTGGATAGGGAAGAGATTCCAAAGCCAACGTTAGTTTTGGAATATACCTTTGGGAGAAGGGCAAGGAGACACAATGCAGTGAGTACCCAGAAAGTTCAGTTTTGTTTATTTATGTAGTTTTGTAGTTTATTTTACACACACACACATATACAGTAATATGTAGTTATTCTTAGCTTGGAGGTTTTTACTTTATTATTTGTGGAGGAAAAAAGAAGGTTTTTTTGATCACCATTTTATTAAAAATTTTTTAATCTTAAATGTATTTTTCCCTATCACTAGAATGCAGTAGATCAAAGACCAAAGTATAAAACAAAGAAATGGGTTTCATTTATGAAATCTACCCTGTTTGTCATGTTTGAGTGATTTTTATCTTCCCAAGGAGGGAAGATGCACAGGATGCATGCCTTGAACTTTGTCTTTAAAGTTTGAAATGAGTATAAACCAATGAAGATATTTACAACTGGATTTATGAGAGACATGTTCATTGTAGATGATATTAAATCATAATTAAGTTTTGGTTTATGTGTCAGTATCACTAACTTTGCTCTGCAGGTTGTGGGAATATTGAACCCATTCTGATCACTGCACAGTGCTGTCCAGCAGTAACAAGTTGCTGCAGGCAGTTGCTGTTGTTGTTGCTGTTACTGAAGCATGGAGTAGAAAATCTGAGAGATAAAAATCACTTGAAACTTTCTGTGGAAGCTAAGTTCCAATATAAAGATTGATCACTTTTTCAGTTGAGACCACTACTCTTGAGCTGCAGTAAATAAAAAGAAGGATGAAAAGCTGATATATTTATCATTAATCATGTTGCTTCCCAACTTCTTTACCTTAAAGTAGTCATTCATGGAGGCTGTCATAGGCACAGCAGGAGCCTTTGGCATTCTGTGGAATTTCTTCAACATTTTTTTGTTTGGTTTTGTTTTTTAGGAAGCACTAATGAAATAGTATGTGCTATTGTTCTGAGTCACTTGCACAAAAACTCAGTGTATCAGAACCAGCACTCTCTCTTGGTGTTTCATGAATGCGTGCATTTCTAACATAATCTATTTTGCAGCCCAAAGATATAGCTCATTTTTGGGAAATAGGTGGTGGAACCTCGTTACTGGAACTGATTCGAATACCAATCACCGTCAACAACGTAAGGTAAATGATTAATATTAAAATTCCAAAGTTAATTTCAGCTGCCTGTCAAGCATAAGTAAATCTCTAGACTGCTTGTTAAAGAAAGTTCTTTCAAAATATTAGATAACATATTTGAGAATTTTTTTTTGTAAAAAATCATGGTAATACCATCAGTACTCTGCTTTGAACTTCCTTTTCACAATCCTTTCCTAATAAGACAAGTTCTTAGCTGTCTCTAAGAACAAGAGAAAGAAATAACATGAAGGAAATGGGTTGGCCTTAAGTAGATGGAACAAGAAATGCAGAAAAAGAAAAGATGTAGTCTCTTTTTATGCTTGTTGAATGAGCAGAAAAAACAACTTGGGATGCAGAGAAAAAAATTTGGTTCCCTGCTTTTGTATGCAGACACAGGAACTATCTCTGAGAGGAGCAGCATTTTAAGGTGAAAGATGAGACAAAAAAAATTACAAATAGAAGTGGATACTGGGTTATTAGGAAGTGAAGTGACCATCTGATAAGAACAAGGTCAGATGTGATAGATGATGTTTCGGAAAGGAACTAAAACTGTTCAATTGATTACAAGAGAAGAGAATGAACACAGGGAATATAGTGAGAATAATCAGAGTGATGGCATAGCATAGGAAGAGGAAATATTTAAAAAGTTGCATGAAGAAGTAAGAATGTGATGATCAAAGGTGTGTTTTACCTTTGTGTTATGATGCATTGTTGCATTTCTTTGGTAATCAGCTTTAACTTCTATGAAAAATAACAACAATGGGAAAGATAATTTCTGTTACATACATTGCTACTGCTCTGACTATTGAGATAATGCTGTTGTTTAGTGAGGGACTAACATGGAAGAAAAGCACTTCCAGAAACCCTGTTGCTGAATGGGCTTGGGGGAAATTCACCTGTTTTTCAGATATCTGAATGAACTTAACTGAGCTCCACCTCAGAAGCTCCTGAGAAGGAATCTTCTCATGAGGATAATTTTAAGATTGTTTTATGAGAGAGCAACACTGTTCTTCAAGATCATCTGTGTTAACTTCAACATACTACTCAAAAATTCTACTGTCTCAAGCTGTTCTCTAGTTTTCTCATCCGTCTGTACTCAAGCAACTTTCTTATGTAAAAGTTCCATGAACTATAGTTGCACCAAGAGAATTTTCATCACATTTTTTCCACAGCATTTGAAGGTGAAATTGGATGTTCGTTTTTCTTTGTTGTATTCCTGATAACCACTGTGGTCTGGAATCCCCTTTTTCATGTCATGATGGAACATGGGGAAAAAAAATGACTAAATCTAGTCAATTTGTGGTGTTTGTGATGTTCCCTTCACATTTACAATCTAATGCTTTTGGAGTCTTGGGAGCCTGGTAGTTTTGTGCTTTGAGTGCTCTGACTTCTTCCATTTGTCTTTCAGAAGACTTTCTGATATACTCATTTGAGGTTCCTGGTAATTGGCACCATCCATCAGACAGATCATTCCTTTAACCAGCTTTTTCTGTGTAATCTGACAAACAAATATGAAAGTATAGAAATTTCTAATGCATTTGTGTTTGATAAAGATTCTGTCCATTTACTAACTTTGCTTCAGCCGGGAGTGTAGAGTTCAGAGATGACATGCTTGGAAACAATGCCTCCAGGAAGAAAGTCAGAGACATAAAATCCCCTAAAACTTCTGATGGAAAGTTACTGAAGCAATAGAAGAAGAGACAGTGGAGAGGTTTCTTCAGTGCTTGGGGCACACTTAAAAGCCATCTCTCTTTGCTGTCACATTCAATTCTATTTCAGCCTTTGTATTTTCATATTTGTTGCTTTCAGCCTTTGTACCACACTTATGGTACTGAAGGAAAAGGCTGTTTGTCTCACACACTGAGGATCTGAGCAGATAATGCCTTTTTTTAATAGGTCATTTGCAGTAGTTCTCGTATTGGATCTATCCAAACCTAATGAACTCTGGATGACTATGGAGAATCTTCTGCAGGCCACCAGAAACCACGTGAATAAAATTTTAGCCAAACTGGAAAAGGCAGATCCTGAAGCAGCTGCTGAAATTAAGCAGAAGATGCAGAACAATCTACAGAGGGATCATCCAGTAAGTTACTTCTAATATTTTCTCCAGATGTCACGGGCCTTTATACAGTTAAAGATAATGCTTTTCAAAATGATAAACAACTCTTTTAGATTTTTCTGCATGACTGAAAATCCATTTGATGTAGATGAACCTGTTCACTGGAAAATTATAGCAATTTAATAAAAATTCAATAAGAGCAGAAACAAGGAAAGAAGGTTTCTTATATCTTTTTGTTAGATATCTAATGTGATTGTTATGGCATGTTACACCTATCAAAAGAAATAGTTTTAGAGTAGCAGTTTGCTTTTTTTTCCCCCCTCATCTTTTTAAAATGAAGATGAAAACTAGAATGTACAAAAGTCATCTAGCAAGAGACTAGCTGAAGGTACAAATTTAAGCAAAGAATATAGTTATAACAGCCATCAACATGACTATATACTTTGCATTTATTTAAATGTCTATCACAAACTCAATGCCTTTTGATAATCTGACAACTAATTAAATTATAAAGTTTCAGAAATGTTAACATCAGTCCTTTAAACATAATTGCTAACTAAATCTCTGGAAAAGCCAAACTAGATTATGCGCAATAGAAATGAAAGATCATTGTGCATGAAACCTCTGCAAATGTTGTGTGTATATAATGGATAAATAAGTATTTAACAGTTCAAAGACTTGGCACATAAATCTAGTTGCTGTAACTTCTAAAATGCTGCAATGTAGTAAATACTTTTCAGTTTTTGAGCTAGGTAAGCAACTTCTCCATTTTTGTTGAGAGCAATATAAAGAGAGTTATGGAGTCTGGGTTCTGCTGGATAATAATTTCCACTTTTAATTTTTAAGAAGGTATTTCACAAAAAGAAAAACTGTGCCTACAAGCACAGTTGGCAACAAATCATGACTGCAATGTCAAGCTTTGAAAAGGGCTTAGCAACTGGAAAATTGCTAACGTTTTTCAATAAGAATAAGGAAAATGCCTCTAATGGTTTAGAAGACTTGTTACCCTGCAGGAAACACAGTTACACCTTCTAAAACTTCCATTCTGTTTTCATTATCATAAGCAACAGACAAAAACAAAATGTTCTGTTACTACTGGGCTCTCATTAAACTTTCTGTGTCAGTTTTGTGGGAGGAAATATCATCACTTACAGTTTAACTATTTGCTCTTTTATAGCTAAGCATTTTTAAGATAATCAGGATTGCTAGGAATCTGAGATTGGAGTTTTTTTTGTTGTTTTGTTTTTTTGGAAGATTTGTTATATTCCATTATTCTGGATAAATGATTGTTGGCTCTGATTTTTACACAAGAAATGTATCAAGTGCAGACCTTGTTTAAATAGGCAGGGAGCCAATTTTAATGTTTCTGATGTTAGTTTTTTATTAGTTAAGGAATAAACACTTTGGTTATTTTTTTTTTTTTTTTTTTTTTTTTTTTTGAGTTCTGCACTTTATATAACAAACTATAGAGGAGGTTTTGCCTTGACAGTGTAGGAATGCAGCAATTATTTCTGCCTTCACAGTACAGGACTTCCTGTGTTTGCAGCTTCTTGCTAATTCTCTAACTGTCATTTATTTGCAGCTTCTTGCTAATTCTCTGTCATTTAGTCTGTATGCTTTTAGAAGTGAACAGTTAGATCTGCTACAACATATTTCTTTTCCACTCTGCTGCAACCAAAGCAGTTTGACAAATTCATCTTATGAATGAGAGGGGATTTGTCTCATTTCACAAAGACTACATGAAAACCTTCCAGATAACTTGAGAATTACTGTTATCTGCTTATTAAAACTTGGGCCGGATGTTAACCATCTAAGTTATATCTACACCTCCAGAGCCACTGCCATCCATTGCTATCAATTTGGAGAACGTGGCATGGATTGAAGTTTATTCATTCTACTTAAGGTTCTGAAAAAAATAAACCTCTTCTCCCTTGAATTAATTTTAACCCTTTTCAGTTGTTTCAACTGTTATAATCTTCTGTAACTTGCTTATACTGCTTAACCATTATATCTGTTTAATAGGATTATGACTTGGTTGACCCTTTTCCAATACCCTTGGTGATTATTGGAAGCAAATACGATATATTTCATGTAAGTAATTTTTTTAATAGTTGTGACAGCAACAACAACAAGCTACCATTTTGTTCTGCACCTTTTTTCAAAGGTTTTTTTTACAGTCAAATGAATAATTGCATCTTTTGGTGGGAGAGGAAAAAATGTACTGCTGGGTTCTCTCCCAGCCCAACCAAATACATACCCACTTTCCAAGGAGCACTTGATCATGGGAAGCTAGAACAGTGTATTTGAATTTTAGCTGCTGTACTGGCAACTTCTGCTTACCTGGATGACTACATGGTACATTGGTACTAAGGCACCTCAGAGTTACTTAATTTTTATTAATAAGTACCATGCATTCTTTCATACTGAGGCTTTGTACTAAGCCCCGACCACTTTAAAAACCAGTGACTCTCCTGTAATGAACACGGAATAACAGCCCAATTCCACTGGAGTCTGTGGACGAACTGCTGCAAGCTTGAGTGGGACAGGTTTTCATCCCCTTGATCCAGGGCATGTCATCTGTATGGTCTTGTGTTGAAGGAATATAAATGATATTTTTGTGCAACTTTAAAATCTTGTAGTTATTAGAATTTAAAGAGCACATAGCCAAAGGTTTACTGAAACTTAAATATTTTCACAAAAAAGGAAGAAAATGCTGATTCTTCTACAAGTCAGTATTTCTTTGCTTTTAGAATTTCAAGAACTGTGAAATAAATTAATTGAAAATTGAAACACATTCCCAATTAAAAACTTTTTTGGACTAACATATTGCCAGAATTAGGCTCCCTCTGAAAAAAAGAAACAAAGGGAAATTGTGACATTTCTTTTCAGAGTAGGCTGTTACTGATTCTGTCTTAAGATATAATTATGCTGACAGCTGAACGCCTCATATATTGCAGCCTAAGTGCATTGCAGTTTAAAGAAAAAGAAAAGTTCTAGCTGTAATGTTTTGGGTTTTTTTTTGTTTCTTACATGTGTTCCAATATCAACTTTTTTTTGGTTTGTTTTTTAGGAGTTTGACTCTGAAATGAGGAAAATAATAAGCAGGACACTTCGATTTGTTTCACATTATTATGGAGCATCACTGGCGGTATTTATATTCACTTAGTAATTAAGGAATAATGAGATGAGTAATACTTGTGCTACAAAATATTCAAAAATGAGAAATAGAAGATCCTAGAGAAGACAGAGTTTAATTAGTTTTACAGTAGCTTTCTTAATGAGCTAGTTTGTAAACTAGGTACAGGTACTGTCAGCAGATGGATGAATACAAGTTATATAAACAAAATGCCCAATGCCCTGTGCCAGCAAAAAACTAGAAATGTGGTTATCTGTTAGCAAACTCAGCTCTAATGTTGAGTTCACTGCGCAGCTTATAAAAGTTTTTGTTGGTGTGATAAAACAGGCAAGAATAAGAGTGTGATCTAGATGGATAACATGAGCAAACTGTCCTCTTTGGTAGAAACATGAACTTAGCTTAGGTCTAGTGGGCAAGCTTCTGAAAATTTTAAAACCTGGCTCCAGAGGCATGACTTTGCAGCAATTTAAGCATAGATCACCACACACATGCAAAGAATAAAACCAAGGACTTTTTCACACTAATGAGTAGGAACTACCAACAGAACAGTGAGACTTGACAAAGCATTTATGTGGGAATATAAACTGATAGGAGTTTCTCAGATCATCTCCTGAGTAAAGGCAGAAATCTTCATGATCACAACCCAAAACAGCTGCCTCTTAAGCTCCTTTACATCAGAACGTGGTTATAATTTTATCAGCCATCATTTCTCTAAAGCCATTTTGTGGCAGTGGCTTATTTTAGTTGCTGAACAGCTTATGTTTGTTTAAATTGTTTATTGTAGTAAATCCAGTAAGCATACACTAATTTTTTTTAGGTCAGGAATTAGCCAAGCTCTATCTGAAGTAGCCTGTGCAGATGATGTAGCACAGTATTTCTGTGATGGAAAATCATAATGTATATTTTGTTTTCTAATTCATTTAGTTTACCAGTAAATCTGAGGCTCTCCTGCTGAAAGCTCGTGCTCTTATTAATCACTTGGCATTTGGCTACGATAGAAGGTAACGAGGGTTGTCTAGCTATTAAATGTCTTGCCCAGAGTCTATGAAACTGTTTAACAAAAACACTTGGATGACTAAAACTTCTATTTTCTTCGCAATGAGATAACCTCTGCAAAATTCCTGTGCAGCTGAGACAGGAATAAAATTCCACAACATCTCTGTACAGAGTAGTGGTAATTCTTGATTTTATTCCCTGAACTGACAGAATAGAAATATAGGCACCATTATAAATAAATAGATTTTTGCTTGCATATATCTCTGTACAAAGCCCCATATGAGTCTATCCTTAGTAGGATAATGTAATTACTAGTTCATTACTAAATATTCTTTTAACATGTTTTTTTTTTTTTTTTTTTTTTTCTGTTTAGCAAGTCCATATCAGTGGATCACAGCAAACCACTATTTATCCCAGCAGGCCTGGATTCACTGAGCCAAATAGGTTGGGACATTTGATGTTCATTGTGTTTGTTGCTTAATTGGTTTTGAAAGTTAGAAACATATATTAAGCCATTACAAGGTAAGCACACTAGCTGTTTTGACTCATCATCGAAGCAAATGGGGTGGAAAATTTTAAACTGCAATTCAGTATTTATATTATTGAGAATTACTTCAGGTAACTTACTGAAGTATCAGGACTACCTCAAGTAGTAAGCTACCAAGAAGCTTTGATCTAAAAGAAAATGTGAAATAGAATGTAATATAGAATTGCCTCCCAGACTTGTAGCAGCTTGTCACTGTAGAAGGTAAAGTAGTAAAGTATTAAAGTAGCTGGGTCAGGAGTTCCTATCAGTTGTTATGGTAACATACACTGTGTTGTGTTTTGCTGTGATCCTTAGGGCCACCACCCACCTCTGACAGCAACATTGGAAAGATGCGTGCAAACACACCTTTAGAACTGTGGAAGAAGGTGTTTGAGAAGACGTTTCCTCCCAAGGTAGGTGTTTACATGTCTGCTGCACAGATCCTTTTCTCTTAGAATAGTAGTAATATTACTACATATTATTGATCTTCCAGTCCAGTGACTGGAATTTCGGTCTCATTTGGGAGTTCTGTTTCTTGTAACCTCTTTGTGCAGTGGTACCCATATGGTAAAGACTGGTTTTACTTTTCGAAAACTATAAAATTATTTTTCACATAACTTTTGCTTACCATACAGTTGCTGTCCATCTCTCCCCAGCACAGCTGGTAGTTGTTGGATATGGGATGTGAATATTTAAATTCAGTGTCTGCACAGGACTGAGTTTTGACCATAACTTTAACACTGTACCAGTTATTCAAATCTGCAGGTAGATATGACTGCCAGAAAGCAATGCAGTAATCGTGTGGCCTCTTTAGCTAATTATTTCTGGGCAACCAGAATGGTTATCTTTGTGCCATACATCATGGAACCTTAGCAGGTGCTTTCTAAAGTTAGATCCCTGGCCCTTTCTAAAGGGTAAGATAACTCAGAGTAGCAATCCTTTACTCAGATTTTACCCCACTTAAGGGTACAGCTGACATTTTTAGATGTGCCCAGATACATTTCTCATCTTGCAAGCTCCGTCAGTGATATTTCCAAAATATGCTTTAAGCTTCAAAGGTGTTTCAGTACAATGACAATTTCCTTCACTTCATTTTATGATAGTTTTAGTTCTGTTTTATTTTATTCTGTTATTTGTATGGTTAGCTGCCTGCTACTTCCCATTCGTTATGACTGTGGAGAAATATGCAGCGCAACATCTGAAAAAACCTTATTTAAAAGTTTTCTGTTAGTGTATTTTCTTCTGTGGAATTAAATGTATCATTCTCTGAAGTCTAGTAAATGAAATTTCAGAACAGGCAGAACAATAGTAATAAACTCTTGAAGTGTTTCATGGATACTGAAATAATGCTTCTGGCAGCCTTAAATGAGGTATCTTCAGTATTCAAATCACTCAGATGCATATCCTTAACTATGCCCAAATGTCATGAGCCAGAAAGGATTTTTGCTTTTTTTCTCTGCACCATTACTGTCTTAAAATTTTACCAAACCAAGATAATAAATTGTGTTGCTTTATCTGATCTTTATCCCACAGTGAAATTTTTTGTCCATAAATGCAAGATTTTAATACCTTTCTATTACAAACAAAATGCATCCATCTTATGTATATCACTGCCGATTCTTGTAAAGGGAACAGAAGGTAAAGTAACATAAGATTTACCTTGTGTGTTTCTCTCATTTCTTCCTCCAAGAGTTTCAGTGATTTACAAGACAGCAAGGACCCTGCACAGGACTCACAATATGCTGAGTATGAAGTTGATGTCATGAGAGCTCAGAAAAACCAGGTGTGTGCTTGTTCTTCAATGGCTCTTCACAATCAGGTATCCCAGAAACACCAGCATTGCTGAAGTAATTGCAGAATATACTCATATCATCCTTTTGTCTTTACATAACTTCTACTTTACTTCAGGGACTCTTTTCCACATCGATATGTTGTTGGTTTTTTTCTTAAGGTAGACACATTGCAGGTGGAGTGTTCTTAGATCTCCAGGTTTTGGCTGCTCACTTTAGAAATGAATAATTCAAACATTTCCTCTCTCTCTTCCAGAATCATTGCACTAAAAATAAATCAGTTTTATAGATAAATTCTATGTTGAATTGGCTAAGGTCAGATTGTTGCCTTATCAATATAAATGTAAGACCTCCCACAAGTAGAAACGTAGGCTTTACCAATATCATAGGTATGGGTCTATCAAGCACAATCCAAGACTTATACATTTGGGTTTTTTTGAAAGGAATATAGCATGTTTACTTGGAAAATTCTGTATTTCTTAAAGTTTCATTTGTTTCACGTGGAGAAAATTCTTCACTAGAATGACTGAGAAAAATGTTGCTAAATTCTCAGAAGTTACATGTAGGCTATCTGCTTCTCATTTCACTTCTTTGTGTACTAAATTACTATGGTTAAAGCAGGTTTTTATAACAGGTGTTTAAGCTGATGAGAGCAGGAGATCTTTTAAAGAGAGACTGTACCAATTTAGGTCTCCCACACTTTTACAGAGCACCCTGCTTAAGATGAAAGGCAGTTCTATTGAGCTGCACTGCAGTTCATCCCAACTAACTGTAGAATACCATAGCAAATTCCATCCCTTTGCATTAATGTAAAAGAAAGCAAAGTATTTCATTATTACTGCTATCCAGTTTTTTGTTTGTTTTTTTTTTTTAGTTTGGTTAGATTGCATAAAGGCTGTAACCTTGTAGTTAGTTACCTGATCCAAGGAAATGCCTTAATAATGTGAAAGAATAAAGCAATTCAAACTTGCACATTACCTGTACCGTCCTGTTAATGTAGGCGTCAGTTCGGAATTTCTGTTATATCAAAAGCAGTCTTAGAAATCATTAACATTTGTAAAGCACATTGCTTTTGGAATTTATAATATAATCTTAATACCCAGTATAACTATATGGAGTATTAAGTTATTTTTAGATAACAGTAACATCTTGCAAAACAAGTTGCTGGTATGCGTTGATTAAATCGTGCAGGAAATTATTAAATTTTCTGTTTTTAAACGAAAGAGAAAAGCTTTTAGAACATTAATCTGTTCAAGGGCATTGGAAACGAGTGTAGTTTCTTTTAGTTGGACCACTACAAGTAATTTGAGCATTAAAGAGAAAATTACTTTTGTTATCTGCACCTATTTTCTAAACTTCTCTATCATAAAGTTCAATTATTACAAGATTATTTGCGCATTATTAAAATGTTTTATTCTCAAAGAATGTCATTCAATTTGAAATGCACCAAGATAGCAATGTACATCTTTAAAAAACAAAAGAAAAAAAAGACAACTATGTAGTTAACAGTCTTGAGATATCTTTAATTTTCCACTTATATGAAAAGTGGCACATAATCCAATTTTTAAAGGGAAACATTAAATGCATCATAGGTCTGGCATTACTTTTTGGACCTTCATACTATCTGTTATTTAGGAAGAACAATATACTGAAATGTTTATTATGCAGCATGTTGCTAATGCAATCATAGTGCAATATGAAAGTTTCGTATCATGCCAGGGTACATTTTGAAATCCTTTTAGCTCATTTTACTTTCCTGGACACACTCTGTTAATGTGCCACTTTGGACTGTCGGTTTGCTTGTTTATCTCAAAGATAAGCTTTAAAGGAAAACAAACACAGAAATATTGTAACAATAAAAATAAAATAGTGTCTTGTCTGCGTATCTGATAAAATAATTAGCATACCTGACTGAAATTCTGGCTTTAGGTGGGATGGTAAATCATTCGTGGTTGATTCATAGATAACCATAGCAATTTAAAGTTTAATAAAATCAAGGCTGTTTCCTCTATTACCTTCCACTTGTGAGGAATTGCCCTAGCACCAGCCAGTCTCTGAATAAATCCATGTGGTTTGCAGAATGTATTTCTCTCCAGGGATTTCCGAGTTTGTAGAGTTTGTGTGCAGCTGGGGTCTGTGGAGAAATAAATGCATCTCTTCAGCATCGGCAGTGCTGATTCTTAATATAAAATTAGCTGTGAGAAGGATACACTCTTTTAGACCAGAATATTCTGCTTCCTTATTATTTTCAGAGTTAAGGATGAGACTTACCACCCTATTACTAAACCTCTTTGCTCTGGAAAGCTCTGTGGCTACCTTTTCCACACTGTACCTTCGTTCTACATATACTCGCTACCTTTCTCAATTATGTCTTTTCAGAATTCTTTTCCTGGTTTTTAAACTATAGCTGTTACTTGCAGATTTATATCAAGTAATGCTCTTGTAATTGTTTACTACTTTTCTTATGCTCTGGAGTTATTCTCTGAGAGAATGTAGCATCTAGGACCTTTTTGAGATCTGCATAAAGGATTAAAACTCCTTTTATCTGGACACTTAACTGTAGCTTTGTTCATAGAAGCAAATGCTAAAGGTAACCTCAATTCCAGCTCAAGGAATTGGATAGCCTCCCAGTTAGGGAATGGTAGATAGGTGGTGTCTTTCAATGTCAGCTTACAAGTAATGGCAGCATATCTTCAAGAACAAGGCTGTATGCCTGTAAAACAGAAGAAAGGAGGGCTGGGGCAGAATAAGCAACACTGAACGTATGAAATATGCAGAAATAAAACTATGAAAATTTATCTGAAGATTAGAAATACATCCTGTTGCTAATCCTCTCATGAGTCACACAAACACCAAACTTGTCTATCTGTAGATTTATCTTATTACTATTTATTTATTTTTTTTTTTAGGTTCTGGATCAAAAACAACCATGTCACTCACTTGGTTGGTTCTAAAACATCTGTCCTGTGTTGCAATAACGGGCTAATGAACTATGTTATTCACAACTGGTGTCATCTTTGGTGTCAGATCTGACACTGTTATTCACACCCCGTCGGTATCTGATTGTGGTTGGGATCAGTTAATCACATATTGGCCAACATGAGAACCAGCCATATTTTTCTCAGCATTTTGTCCTGCTATGAGCATATTGCAGAACTTCAGGAGAGCACTTCAGATTGAACAAAATAGAAGCTTTCATGCTGTGCAGTGAACCTCCTGTCCAGTGTTAGTGGGCAAAGGGTTGTGACACTCACCGTTACAGCAGGAGCATCTTTCCTTTTCTCCAGAGAAGTGCTAGTCTTCATGAGAGGAAAGTTATGTAGGGTGCTGATACAGCTGCCAAGAGTAAGCTTTTCTGTGTTGGCATGAAAACATACCCAAGTGGGTACAGCACAGGCATTTTAGTGTTGGTTTAAGAGCCTTATTAGAGCACAGTTATTAAACTTCTGCTGAATCTTAATTGCTTATTTTAATCCTAGTACTTGTTTCTTTTTACTGTCTTACAGACTGAGAGCAAGTTCAGTCAGAAACCATATTTAAAAAAGACAGTTAAAGATGCAGTGCCAGTCTCTTAGGACTGAGGGAATGAAACAATTAAAGCTTTTCCTGCAATCGTAATTTTACTCCTTGTTTGTAGACATTACAGTATTGTCTTTAATTACATGATCATGTACTATTTTGCTGATGTCTCAGTTCAGTTGTTCAGTATTTCTTTTCATTATACTCATTCTTTGTGTACCTTATTTCTCAACCTGCCATTCAGACACTTCAGTGAACACAAAAGTATTAATTTTTTTCTCTAAGAATGTGTGGTAATGTTATCTTATCTGAGTGCCTCACAAACATCATTTAAGTCTTTCTTCTCAATCCCTTTATGAGATAGCTGGGATCTTCCCCATTTGACAGTTGAAGAATTTATAGCAGCACAGAAGTACAGAAGCAGTAAGGTTAAAAATATGTATATATAAGAAAGGAAAAAAATTCACTTTTAGCCAGAGTTGAGGCATTTAGGAGAAGTTGCTGGCACACCAGTAACATTTAAAACATTCTAAGCACACTGAAAGCAATTATTAATTCTGCACATCTGATCTGTATGATGTATTTACCCCTTTTTGTAGCATTTGAGAAAGCTGTTGGAACTGAAGTTATTTTCTTAGCATCAAATAGGATACATGTACTTCTCAAAATATCCCTGTATTCTCTCTTCTTCTACTACCAAACTGCTGGAGGTTTGCCACCAGTTCCGAACGTTCTGAGATCACAGTTACTTCATATTAATAGTGAGGGAATGAAACACTGAGTATAGACTGGCTTAAAGATGGAACAATATGCAGTCTCACGGGACTTGTATTTAATAATGCAACTTAATACATTTAGACACAGTTTGTTCTGCATCAGTCATCAGTGAGTAAACTGTAAAACTCAACTCTTGTAAGCATCAGAAGGATATGCACTAATTAAAAAATCCTTTTACTGCTCAGAAACCTGTGGTGCTTTCTGATAGTTTTGCACTGCTGGTGAAGCTGCTGAAATTACTGCCTGAAAGAGAAAATTCATTAGAGCTTCCTCACAGTTATTAGGCAGTGATTTTTCTGTTGCTCATGTTAAACACTTGAGCAATTTTGAGGATCTCCACTGCATTTATACTTATTGCTGCTTTATGTTCAGTCCTTTTCCCTCCTTCCCCCTCCCATTTTTCTTCTCATCATCCCAAGCTACTTCAACCATAAGTGCACAGACGTTATTGTTTGTGACTCCTGGAGGCTAACTTTTCTTATTTGCTTTGGCAGATAATTTTAATCTGTATTTTGTCTCTCTTTTTGGCTTGAGAGTAAATTTCCAAAAGGATGAATGTTCTTTTCTGCTTAAAGCATTTTGAGAAGAGGCGCTCCTGGTTTTTAAGTAAACTTAGGAGCAAGAATAGAAATACACTGAAATCTTACTGAAAGAGTTGTACTACTCCTAAATTAGCATGGCTCTTTTGAAGCTCATACAAAAAGCTGCTTCAAGCTTCTCTTGAAGTGGTTGCTGTTAGCATGAATTCCTCAACAAACAATGGAAACAACTAATAAAAACCAGAATTTTTGCCTGCTTAGTCCTATTCACAGCAGTATGTTTGCACAGCCTGATTCAGTATCTTGACAGATCATGGAGCTGTCTAAATGCAGACATTTGCTTTTAGAAGCTTTTCAGGTAACCCATTTTAAATCTGACCTTCAGCTGTGTTTTGGAATGTGAATCTAGCTTTGTTTTTTAGTTACACATAAAACACAAGATATCACTACCTTGGAAGACCTTCCTGGCACGTTTTTTACAATACAGAACTTAATACTGCAGGTAGGTCGTAGCAACAATGTGTTAAGGTTACCTGTAGTCAATTGAACTCAATGAGAGGTTCCAGTATAATTAAATTTTTTGTGCGTGCTGTAGTTAAAAGAGAGTTAATGTGTTCTTCTAACTAAGATAGATAGAATGCTTTTTTTATTGCAAATAGCATGTGGTTAGGTCTAAAAGATATTTCATTAAAGCAAGTATCTTGTCACTCTTAACAGCAACAAAAAGCAATCACAGTGCATTTAAAATAGCTTTTTCGCTGGAAAAAAATAATCAGAAACAATTTCTGACAGTATACACCAAGCTATAAAATCCTGAAAAAGAAACTGGTTTTTGCAGTGTTGCTAGAACCTTCTGTTACAGGCTTAAGGATTCCCAGTAGCACTATTTGACTGAAAAGAGGTGATTTGCTTACCTTGCTGGTGTTCCACTGATGTCAAGAACCCCATAATACAGACTGCCCCATGCTTCACACCTAATTTACACTATTTGTATCTCCACAGTTTGAGGCTCTGTTTGCTTTTAATTACCATCTAAAAGATGTGTAATTGTAATTACCACATTGGTTTTGCATTTTACTTTTACATCCACATGTAAGCTTTTACTGAACAGTGGCACCTGAAACTTTTTTTTTTTGAACTACAAATTGCAAAAAAGAACCCACCAATACAAAAATTAAAAGTGGGGCATCACTGTCTGTCTTGATTACTGCACTTCCTGAAAAGTCCCAAGCCGTGATGAACGTTTCTATGAATATCCAGTACCAGAGATTGGGTTGATCTCTAAACAGCCACTGCTTTCCTCCAAAATACATTTCTGCTTGCTGCTGTCTGGACAAGATTGTGAAAGGTAGCAAAGACAAAATGCAGCGCAACTTCAGGGGCCACAGCAGGGCCACGAAGGGAACATCTGCCATGTGTATATCACGCATATTCTTGGTATATCTGGCTTCAGTTCTGTAGGGGTTTCTAACACAGTGTATAAGATTTCAATAGTTCAGTCCTGTGCATAAAAAAACAATTATTTTCCATACTCTTAAGGAATTGCCAATCCATTTTGCTCCTTGAAAGGCCTTGACTTGGACACTTGGTTGATGCGACAAATTAGTTTTTGTTCAGTAATTCTGTCTTCTGTTCTTAAAATACATGTAATGATACACTTCAGTTTGTGGAGTTAGGCTTCTCCACACCAAACATCTAAGAAAGGGTCCCAACTTCTGTCTTAGAAAGCAAGTGTCTAGGCAAAAAATAATAATAATATAAAAAATAAATCTAGCTCCCTGTGTCATTATGTGAGTGCAGATGTATCAAATGCCAAACTTTCAGTATTATTTTGTTAGAAATAACAACCATCTAGTTATTTTTTTCTACAGTGACTGATCTGCGTACGTGCTTTAATTGATGAGGTGCTTAACATATCTTATGGCTTTTAGTCATCAGGATATTAATATCTATGTATGTTTGTTTTTCAGGAACTTGAACAATACAAAAGAAATGCCTCAAAATCCTGGAAAGAAATGGATTTTGGTCCTGATTGGTGAACTGCTGATGGTGTCCTAAGTTTCACATTTGCAAGATTTGAATATGAAGGTGGCATCAGTCATTCCTACCTGTTTTATAATTTGTAACAAATTACTCAATGTATTTTTGACGGATACCGCCCTAATCAGCTGTGTAAATGCATACAAGTTTTCACACCCAAAATATGAACTGCATGGTTAAGTACACCAGGCATCTTTAAAATCAAAGCTTAAGAATGCATTTCCATCATAATTTGACCTATTTGAGTAGTTCCAGAAAAACGTGTAGAACAAAATAAAATTAAAAACAATTTTGGCCTGATCTAAAATTCGTAAGTCTTCTTTATCTCAGCTTCGGTATCATAAAGTTTGATTCTTCTGTCAGAATAAGCAAGACAAATCTGCATTAAAGCCAGAGATGGCTCTGAGAGCTAAGACTTGTGGTCGGAGAGTAAGGGCCTAAACAGAGACTTGGCAGACCAGAATGCAAGAATATTCCTTGATAAACAACTCTATCCGTGGGCATAAAAATGGCAAAGATACATTAACCTGGTATCGATCCATCCTTTTAGATATATTTTTTCATGTATTTGTTTATTGAATTATTTGTTCATGTAACTTTTGTATCTGAGAATATTATACATAAAGATAATTAGAAGAAAATCTTGGCCTCACAGTTAAGTGAAAAGCTTGCATTAACTTGGGGATTTCATACTTGTTAAAATGTGTGTTATCTTACAGCTGTAAAATTTAATTATTTTACTATGGAATTTTAAGGTACAAATATACTTAACTCTGCAATAAATAATTTTTTCACTGAATATGAGACAAAGCTTATGAATTTTGCATCTAGTAGGCTTTCAGTTTTGAGAATTACTTATTTCTATTTACTAATTGGATGAATGAACCCCTTTGATGTGTTAGTGAGCCCATGAGAATGATTTCCAGAGAAATAACATCTCTTTCAAGAAAAGGGAGACAACTTGTATATACGTTTTTCCCTAGTTGAACTGATACTTTATTAATAAACAATTTTTTTCCCTAGTAATTCACAGACTGCTTCCAAAACAAGATTTAGAACTGAATACTGAGAAGAAAGAGCAAATACAAATAACATAACTGCCTACTATGATCTGGCGTTGCTTACAAAACAAAAACATTTTGTAACTTCTGTGTTGCTTAAAGTTGCTTCTTGTACTCATGGATGCTGCGGTTGGATGGGATGCATAAGATTAAAGTGATTTCTTGATTCTGTCTTTCATTACAATATTTGGTTTGTTCTCTTTCTAAAGTTACCCACAGATGGTAACAAAACAAAGCATATTACTTTAAAAACAAAACAATTCTAGATTTACTCAGCAATTCTAGCTCTCTGCTTATTGGTAATAGCTTAAAAAAAAAAAAAAAAAGTACTATGGAAAACATTAGAGCATCATTGGATACATTGTTGAAGAATGAAAGCATCAGCAGACTAAATCAAATTTTAGAAGTCCTCTAAAACTTGTAATACTATTGGAATGGCTGATCTGGGAGAGGAAAAAGGGGTGGGAATACCAGGAATAGCAGGGAGTCATTCACACTCTTGTTAGAACGTTGTTTTTTAAGACGGAAAGTGTCTACTTAGAATCAAGCAAGGGAAGATGTTTCATGTTACTTGGAATCAAGCAAGGGAAGGTGTTTCTATGTGTTTGATTGCTTAAATTCTTTATAAAATCCAGCAGATCAAGCTTTGAAGCTTTGTTAGTACTGCTACCTTTTTTCACTGCCTGCTAATAATCTTCTCTCTTATTTTGAAGCTCAAGATTGCTATAATGGTAAGTACAGGTAGGAAAGCATAGAGCAGTAGGAAATCCGTTGTGAACCGGGATAATGCACCAGGAAAGTTTTGTTCAATGAATTCGATGCCACGAGTGATTGGACATGCAGCATTTATCGTAGTGGAACCGTTGTCTCCATCTGTCGAAAGAAAAAGATAATTCCTTCAGTAAGTTAATCAGTAAAATTAAAACTCAGGCTTCGCTATCTAGGTTCATACATTTAACTTATCTAGCTTGTTATTTTAATGATGAATTAAGCCCACATCTACAGCTCCCACCCTTTTGGTGTTAAGAACAGTCATACTGTGTGTTTCTGCAGTTAATCTAGGCCACATTATTCGAAGAAACAAAGAAAATGTCTCTAGAGCTTTCTGTTTTGTTCATACCAAGTAAATGAAGGGTCTAGAGGGGCCACACTTTGGCCAGTATGATAGATGTATCATTCCCATTAAACATCAGCTGTTAATTACTACTACCAAAGTCATGGAGTCATTTTCTAACAGTTGTTTTTATGGTTGTATTCAAACAGTTGCCACCTACACTTTTCTAATGAAGGGAGGCAGGATAGATTGATGACAAATAGTGCATGAAGGATATGTAGCCTTGGAGAGAAGCACAAGCACCTGCCTGCAAAGCCCAAAATATCTCATGGCTGAAGGATAGCTCAAAGCTTTCCCCCGTTGACAGATTCACATCATCCTTCTAATCCTTCCAACCTGACTGTAATGTCTTTCACTTACCTTGCTCACAAACACTGAAGCGCAGCCTGACAGAGCAAAGCTGCTCAATATTTGCCATGCTAATATATTTGAACTGAAGCCTCACTAGAGTTAGAGGAAATGTCTGGTTGGGTGTTACGTGCACTCCCTGCACCGATATTCGATCCTGTACCATCTCTTCCTATCGCTACTCTATTTGTGCATAAATAATAAAAGAATAAAAGAACAGCTGAAGAAAAAGATGGAAAACTGAAAGAATGAGGAATGGTTGAAAAAAATAGTTGGACGATTTATCTACCTTGCAGATACAGAGTTACAGTACATTTTTTCCTAATCAGAAAGTTCAGGATGTTTTAAACAACAAGTTTTCTTTAAGTTATCAGGACAATTTTGTTGTTCAAGGAAGGAAAGGAATACTTCTGAATACTTACTACAAGTAAAGTTTAGGCCATGAAATTCATTGACTACCAGAATCTCACTGCTGTATTTTTGAAAGGTGAGAAAACTGAGTATTTGAAAAGGCATTGGCATTTCTTCTATGGTCCTTTTAAGAAACAGAGAAGTTAAATTGTCATTTGCTACATTCCAAGAACCAGTTCTGCCCTAAATTGAAACAATCTCTCTGGTTGTAGGAAAGTTACAGGAAGAATTCTTGGCTGTAAATGTCAGCTTTTCAAACATGAGTTTTATTTCAGTGCTAAATGAGACAGCAACTAAAGTTCTCTCTGACATTGGTACAGCGTCGTAACATTCAGTCCTAACTTCTTGTTGGTGCATCGTAATGTTCCTTCACATTTATTAAGCTGTTTATTGATTTAATATTTGTATGTAGTTGAGTTTACACAAATCAAAAAAGGAACCTGAAAAGTTGAATGACGAAACTGGAGAAGAAGATTATAATAAAATTGTTGAGAACAACTTTTTTTTTCTAAAACCAAAACTAAAACTAAAACTAATGTGTGAAACTTCCAGCAATTATTAAAACTGGTAGGATTTTTTTTTTGGTAGAATTCGCTAATAAGGACAGCATTTCATACAATCATGTTGGCATAAGTAAAAGAATTCAACTGAGCCAATAGATTTGAATTGCTCAATTTTATCTCCAAGTCATATGCCATTTTGCAATAATAAATAAACATTTTAATATCTTTGCAGATATCTAAAGTTATTATTTGTGTGTGTGTATTTAGTACAAAGTCTAACATGATTAGATAGTTTTTCCTCTCTGGAGATAATGGCTGTACTTTTGTTCCCTTTCTCCTCTGCATCACTGCTCTGAAGCAATACGGATTTTTCTTGAAACTCATCTATCAGTATTTTAACATCAACACCATCATGAAGTAAAATGTTTTCCTACCTTACGAGTCCAGCTCCCACTACCACACCTGCTGAGTTAAGCAGCACCACTCCACTTTGGACTATATTTGGGTTTTGAATAACCCCAAGCATCACAAGGGTGAGCAGTTCACCAATTACATGGGACGCAAAGACAACCGCAAAGAAAATTCCAAATCTGAAAGGATCAGGATGCAACCCTATAGTCCTGTACAAAAAAAAACAACAAATGAAACAAGGGATACTTTTAAACAGTTTGGTTTGGGATGAGACTTGGAAAGTACCATTTGTTTTTGTTTTCATTCATTTCTGCAATCACTGCTCATTAAGGGTTTATCCCTTAGCTTTTTGCATGTTTGACAGAGCCTTAACAAAAAGTGCATCAACTTAAATTCATGACGTAACTGCAGATGTATGAGCTTTCTCCATCTAGATTAAAGAGGGTTATGTGAAGATGTAACCGTAGAAAAAATGTGTTACATCAAGATAACCACCATGCCTTTAATGACCCCCTCAGCTAACATCCTCCTCCTTTGAGCCCATTCAGTAAGAGTTATTTATAGGTCATATATTTAAAGAACACGTTTATGCAGACAATTAACAGATGGAATCTTGCACTTCTGCACTTACACGTAATTGTAAAAACAGCTGTACTCATCCTAGTTGAATAGAAGGCTCATTGAATTCACCACTCCTGTAAGTGTGATTCATCCAAATGCAATATCTTCCATACTTTTACATTCTTAAATACACTACACACTGTTCCTTGCTTTTCCCTCGCTTAAGGAAAACTGTCCCCCTCCAATTTGTCCTAAAGACTAAAAAGTGAACAAAGCTAGCAATTGTTTGGCAAACTTGACAGATGATAAAACCTGTAATTACACAGTGGCATTCTACATTTCCACTATAATTCATTCCAAAATTGCCTCATACCAGTACATACCATGTGCTCTGCTTAGCTAGCAGGCAGCTACTTGACACTTCATATTCATTGCTCAAATGAATATCAAGAGTCACAGGACTCTGTCATATTTTACAATCCACCACACCCAAA